AGTATCATCTATTATTTGCAGAATAATGGAAGTTACAAAATAGTCTTGAATTTTTTAAACAACTCATCTTTTAAATTGGGAACAAGCTTGCTTCACATGTCAATCCCAGCTCTCTCTCACTCCCCTCCTCCCCTGTCCCCCCACCAGTCCCCCTGCCTCCTGCCGAATCCCCACTCGGTTCCCCAGGGAGGGTGAGGTCCTCCATGGGAGATCTCCAGAGTCTGCCACTTCATTCAGGGCAGGGCCTAGGCCCTCCCATAAGAGTCCAGGCTGAGAGAGCATCCCTCATTGTGGGGTAACTCCCAAAGTTAATTTGTGTGTCAGGAAGAAATACTGAGTAACTTAAATGGGGAAATGGTCTGTTTTCATTCTCTTTCTAAACCTGACTCTGTTAAACTCAAAATAAGCTCCATTCCTGAAGAAACAATATGAAGTTGATGTAGACTCCTATGAGTCTTCCAACACAGGAGTCTTCCTATAAGTAGAAACTAAAAAAAGAAAGACTCTGGGCAGTTCTACGTGTAAGGTAGGGGGCATGATTTTGTCCCTCAAGATATTCTTATTTATTCTGATAAGTTCCATGTCCCATCATTTTTGCAGGCTTGATCTGTTTTTCATATCAAGCCATTGTTTCCCTCAATAGTTTCAGATAGGGAAGTAAGGAGGAGACATACTTTCCTGACTGTCCAATTTAGAACTCAAAGACAAGCCTTAGGAGGAGGTATCTGTAGGTCTTCCTCTATACTGATAAAATAGTTTCCATTAGCCAGACTCCAGGGTCTTCTTGATGATGTCTGTTGGAGACTGTATCCTATTTTCCTGATTTACAAACAGGTTCTTCTGTTGCCCTGATTGGAATTCAGTAACCCACACATGCAGCCACCAAACCCCAGAGCCCCCAATGGATGCAAGTAGATAAGGAAGCTGGATTATGTGGTGTCTCCCCTATCTGAGATTAAGTAAGTGCAATATACTAATGTACTTACCCTAAGTTCTGACATGACGTGGTCCCTCCCCAATTATGACTATATATGCGTATGATTTCCTGTGTCTTCACAGAACTGCTCACAAGAATATGGAAATATTGAAATATTTCTTCTGGAATGAAAAATCCTGTAATTCCTCCCTTAAATTTCTGTTTGACAACAGCTAAGATTTTGGCTGAAGGCCTTTTTCTTCTCATATGTATCTGTTAGATATGGATACAGAACTCTCTGGAAATGCCAGTCCTACATGCTTGAAATGAATGGTGCTGCTGATCATAAGATATCTGTCTAGACTGTAGGTTGCAGAGGCTGCTAGAAATATGTACATAGTGGAGTAAGACTTTTAGATGTGCCATTCTCAGTGAGTTGAGATTTCATTCCTCACTCTTAAATGTCTCCTTACTGTACCCTAGCTTGTTAATTAAATGTTCCCTGGGAAATTATATGTGTACTATGATGAGCAAGTATTTCCTTAGGTAAAACATTTACAGAAAATGATTTTAGCTTTCAGTTAATCCTAGATAGCCACAATTGCATCAGATAAGAAGCCCAAATTTCTATAAGGTCTGTTTCGGGTAGCATTAGTCTTCAGAAAAAAATTATCTGAAAGATTTCTTTCCTACATGGAAGAAACTGAACATGGGAGATTTGGCCTTATTTCAGCATTTATGACATTATATGTCTCAGAACATATACGTAACCTTCATTCATAGTGTATAACACACACTGTTCTTACTAGCCGAATATAAGATTGTTAGACTATTTATTAGTAAATATTTATTCTCAAGTGATGGGGCTCTCTTCTGTACATGTTTCTCTTATTGGTTGATTAATATAGCACTGTGGCCAATGAGGCAGGATGATAGGTTGGACAAGCAGACAGGAAGATTCTGGGAAATGTAGGCAGTGTCACTCACCATGTAGGACACTAGAGGACTAACAGATTCAGACTCATTCTCCGGTAAGGTAAGACCACGTGGAAATACTTGGATTAATAGAAACAGGTTAATTATTAAGACAGAGCTAGCCAAATAAGAAATCATAGTCACCAACCAACGATGACATAATACATATAGTGTCCTAGTGTTGCTTTGGAGCAGAGAAGGGCAGAGGGACAAGACAGGCCAGAAACATTCATGCCATAAAATGGTGCCCACTTTGTTGTAAACTTGACAAAAACTTAAAAAGGGAATTTAGAAACGAAGAACAGAGACAAGAACAGTTTCTTGGTAGCAGCCTTTTCTCAGGTCTGCTCTGTTTTGATAGAGATAAGCTGTGACTCGCACGGCTCCTTTAAGGGAGGTTTCCTGACACAACATAAACGGAATATCTGCATGGCTCTTTATACATGCCATGTTAACAACTGAATGGTGTGTATGAGCAGCTGGATATGGCAGTGACCACATCTCCACAAAGCACACTGCTTAATGGCAGAGTAGACCAAGATGGTGAGCACAGTTCCCATTGCTGGCAGTAAACTTATGTGTACCATGTTGGAAATCCAGAAGCTAAAATAACCACTGCTTTAATTTTGTTTTAACTTTAGCAATGTTGTCTAGCAGAAAAAGGTAAAGATTTACAGTAAAGACAGATTCAGATGGAGAAAAACTTCTAAAAATTTTACAGTGTGCTAAACAATATACGTAGGCTTGAGAGAGAAATGGACCAGGATACTGTTTAAAAGAAAAGAAATAGAGTAACTGGGTGATGTGACACACACCTTTAATCCCAGCACTTGGGAGGCAGAGGCAAACAGATCGCTGTGCTTTCAAGGTCATCTGGTTTACAGACTGAATTCCAGGACAGGCAAATGTTACACAGAGAAACACTGTCTCAAAAAGCAAAACAAAAAAATAAATGTAAAAGAAATATAGTACATAAATAAAATAAAATAAAAATATAAAATAATTTTTAAAAAACATATAGGTGGAAAGTACACAGAGAGTCTGGATACTTGATGCTATTGTGTTGCCTTTGAATTTTTCAGTTGCTGACAAAACAGCAGCTGCTAAAAGATATTTGATTATATGTGCTGCTGTATTAATCCACCTTATATATTTTAAAATGCTGTATCTTCAAAATTAGACTTCTTTCTCCTTCCCAGAGAAAAGTAAAATGTGCAGATGCCTTCCAGACTAATATGGATTGATCAAGGAAGACCCCCTGAAATAGTGACACAGGTGATCCAACATGGAAAAACAGCTGAGATGATATACTCACAGACCACTCCAGCCAGGATTTCTGGGTCTTCTTAGGACCCCAACACAGTACCTTGAAAGAGCAGGAAGCAGTTTGCAAAGAACGATACCCACCTCCCAAATATTATTTATAAATGTTTGTTTTCATTTAATTTGGGTGGGTTATAAATGGTTAAAGATCACAACCAACCTCTTTCTAAAGGAATAAAAGGGATTATGATATAGAAATGAATAAGTTTGTATTGGAATGGATTTTCAATTTTGATACAAATTTAAGGTCACTTTTGAGATAAGTATTATTTCTCAACTGTTTTAGATATTGTGCATATATACCTCATTGAAAAATGTAATGTATAGTTAAGTACAGATTTTAGATAATTACATATAATAGCCATAACTGATACTTAGGTTAGTTAGGTTGTCTGGACATAGAGGTGATATATTTCAACTGGACAGGCAATGTTCAGACCTTTTAAAGACATACAGAATATGGAATTTAAAATGGTTTAGAGGTTTTTTTTATGACAATGAGACACAGCTACTCCTGGACACACCAATTACATCTGGGAGGAAGAATGGCAAGGAAGAATCCTGCTACAAACTTCGCTACAATGATTATCTGGTAAGCAACTTAGGATCACCTTGCACTATAGTTTCTTGTGATTACAGCAGGAGATGGCTCAATGGTACAGGAAACTGTTGGGACAGTACTTACCACCACCAACAGTGCTCTGTGAATTATTAAATTTTCTGGTGACAAGGGCAAGGGAACTTTCACGACTGCAAAGTGAAAATAAATCACAAAGTGTTTAATCACCTCTTGAGCATTGAATGCCCTCACAGTGTCCTTTTGTTATCTGAGACACTTTGGAATTGTGTGAAATGCACTAGGAAACCAAAAGTTCTAATTTGGACTGGGAAGAAGGGGGAAATATGTGCTATAGACAAAAACCTCTCCAATCCTACTAGGTAGCACCTGTGTGGTCTTTGGATAAGTCGAAAGAGCCAGAAGCCTTCAAATGCTGTCTCAGAAGCAGGTTTGGCAAATGAAGCAACATAAAGAGATTGGGTTGACTCTATAACACATGTCACCTTGCAAAATATACTGGGTATTTAATGAATAGAAGTTGATTTGAGTATCATTACTTTGACCCCCACACAGACACCTATTTCCTGAGTTTTGTCATTGTTACCTAGAGTATTCTGAAGATGTAAATCTATAAGGGAAAGAACACCAAATCTGAAGAAGAAATGTTTTTCAAATAAAAGTCATTATATTTGTGCCCTCTGCCCAGAAAATCCTTCTGCTTTGTGAGGAAAAAAACAAAGCATTCACAGGGAATTGGTTTACATTTATATGTACCCTAGATTCACAGTATTTTTCAGAGAGAAAACATTCAACCCATATTTGTGAATAAATGAGTCAGAAAGCAAAATGTATTAGTATTTATTAACACTTTCCTGTTTTCTTGCATGAGCTTAACAAATAAAAGTACACAGCATTTAGTGTTGGATAATGCACTGTAAGATTTAAAGGAATCCTAAAAGATTGCATAGGTTTCCCACATTTTTGGAGAAATATAAAGGAAAACAAAGGCATGACCAACTTACTTCCCAGGCTCTAAAACTAATAAACCTCCCATTTCAGGGATTAACATTTATCTACCCAGCAAAGCAGTGAATTAAACACACAGTCAGCATGTTCTGATTCAGAGGAGGGAGGAGGAGTAGGAAAAGAAAGGAGGACAAGGAGAAAAGAGGAAGTAATATAAATGGAAGGCATGACTTCCTTTTATCCTCTTCCCTTTCTTCTCTTTTCTCCTCCTTTCCCTCCCTCTCTTTTATTTCTCAGTTCTACTCCACATTCTCAGTAACATTGGTTTCTGCTTCCTCCTCCCTTTCCTCTTCCCTTTCTTCCTCCCTTTCCTCTTCCCTTTCTTCCACCTCTTCTTCCACCTCTTCCATGAGCAACAGCTCCTCCTCTTCATTATCACCTTCCGTTTCTTCATATATTTCTAGAATTCCATCTACACCCTCTTCCATGTCATCCACGGGAATCAGATAAAACAGGGTGTCCCATGAATTATGGGGGTCCAGAAAATCTTCAAGGTGGAGACATGGAAAACTTCCGTAGTGAATCATGATGACCCTTACTGGAGGCAGTAGGCAGAAATATGTGTGAAACGATCCTAAATGCCTAGGGGATGGAAAAGTGGAGTAAATAGCCTGAGCAGAAAAGTTTACATCTGGTGATTGGGACAAAAGCCACCTTGCAGAAATTCTCTGCAGTACTAAGCAGTAGTCATATTTATAGGGATTCCTCAAGCTTCCCACAACTCTGAAGGCTCATGGTTCATATTAAACTATGGCATGGAATGTTATTAAGAGTCAGAGGTAGAGAATACCTGCAGTGAAACTGTATTTGCAGGACAAAACGAAGCAGGTTTACACTTGAAATTAGCGTGCCTGGGACTTTGTGTGAATGATCTACACATAAATCAATCCAGGCCAAATGCCACCACGTATGGAGGAGGAGTTTCTAGAGTTCTCTGAGGAGCTATGGGATATTGATGGCTTCGAGGGCAAGGGGGACTGTTTTTTTCAGGATTGCTCTTCTGAAAGGCTCCCAACATCAACAGATGATCCCACACCTAGGCACATGCAAGCAGCACTAATTATACTCAGTTTTAAAAGACCACATGTGGATGAGAAGAAAAGGTGGTAAATGGGGAGATGGGAAGAAAACAGAATAAGGACTGTATTTGACCAATGCACACTTTAGGCCGGCACAAAATTTTAGAAAATAAAAATTCATATTTGTGAGGTAGTGAAATAAAAAGTTAGCATGTGTGGAGTACCATCTCTAAACAAACCTGTCAGGGTCTATCTGGGACACATTAAGGACTGGCTACATATTGTGGAGAATCTGACTTTTCTAAGTGAGAGGTGGAATTATTCCTCATGGTGTCGTCAGACCTGACACTATCCCTTCTGCTGCATTTGGACATGTCTCCTCATAATAAGCCTTCACTTGTTTTGTGACATTAAAAAGGAAGTGAGGGTGAATACCTCACTGTGACTCCCATGGTCTTTAAGAGCTGACAGCAAGGCAAGGTAGAGCAGGAGACACCTTCATTTCCAGAAAGGGGAATTATGCCCTCTGCTTCAGGGTTTTTCTTAGATCCTGTTAGATTCTGGGACTCTTCATTCTGCTGCTAAAGATACTGTCCCCTCTTCAGAATCAAATCTTCACTACCATCAGAATATACATAACAATGAGGAGTTGGAATGTCTGACCAGTACTGCCTGTCCCTCTCGAGGCAGACAGCAGAGGGTAGATCCTGTCTGGTCCACAGTGTGCTTACCCTGAGTTTTCCCTCACACTGTTCATCTTTACTCTTTCCAAGTCTGAACCATAGAATGTTGATATGATGTCTAATAAGACACAATCTCACCTTTCTAAGTGATCTCCTCACTGTTAAAGAAAGTGATCTCCTCACTGTTAAAGAAAGTGATAGTCTCATTTTTCTACGTCATTCAATAGCTGAGAACAGAAGAGTTCTGGATTCTTTAGGCCATTACTTGAATTATTTTAGTACTCACCTAGGTCCTTAACACGCAAGGTATCTTCTCTACTGAACTGTGTTCACAATTTCAATAGTCTCTAAGGAAAAATAACAGTGATTCCTTAGGTAGGGATGTTCTATGTAGGACTAGATCCCATCTGGTGAGCTGGAGGACTGCCCTTAGATATCTAACATGATATTTATTTTTATTCTTGTCTTTTCCCCCACCTTTCATTGTCACTTGAATCTAAGACCTCACATCTAGGGGATATATGAAAACCTTACATCTGACGATTTTTGTCCATATCATCTAAGAACTGACATATGGGACAGATGGAATTTGTGTGAGACTCATCTTGTATGGGTTGGAGTCTTTTCTTGGTGACTTAACATTACCATGACTCTTGACAGATCCTAGAAATCCTCCACTCTGCTCATGTCACATATGGTAATCAAAGTGTTCTTCTACCTCCCTGGATACTTCAGAAAATAGTAAAATGTATCATATGTAGGGATTCCTTTACCAAATTCAGGTATACTGTACAAAAAATTAGACCTATCTCAGTATATTCCTCTTCAGTGTTGCTGAGTACTGTCATAGTCTGGCATGATTATCTAAGTCCTCACCATCTTGAACTATACCTGCATATTAGATTCTGGGATAACTTACTGAATTAATGCCTTCTCATTCCATCATATCATCCTAGTCTGTGTCTTCTTAGGGAATAAAAACATGATACAGGCACAATCTGTAATGATCCTATTTTTCTAACGTAAGGAGTAAAGTTGGAGTGAATGTGCTCAGTCCACTCCTTCAGGGGTTCTTAATTTGACCACAGGGAGAACCACACTGACCTACCATAACTCCTTTACAGGCTGTCAGACTCTCAGAACAACATCCTCTCTTCATGACTATCAGAAGGGAAGGAATAGATCTGGGGTCTACTCTCTCTCTGACTTTGTTCCACTAAAGGCAGTGGTTGAAACTAATATTTCATCTTACTCCAGTCAGAATGGCTAAGACAAAACAAAAACAAGTCAATTGACAACAATTGACTTTAGAGAAGTTGTTGGGGAAAGTGAACCTTCATTCACTGTTTGTGGGACTGCAAACTAGTATAGTCACTGCTAAAGTCAGTGTGGAGAATTCTCAAAAACTTAAAACAAACAAAGGAAAACAAACCAAAACCTACCATGTGATCTAACCATGCCACACTTTGACATATGTCTAAAGGACTTGACATTGTACTCCTTAAATACTTGCTCAGCGGTGTTCATTGCTGCTCTAACTGTACTTATTTTATTGAATTGGGTTTTTAAAATTTCATTTACTTTATGTGCATGAATGTTTTTCCTACAAATATGTATACCTCCTACATAGATCTTGGGGAGTTCCGTGGGGGTCAGAAGACAGAAAAAGATCTCCTAAAACAGCTGTGTGCTGTCTTATAGGTGCTGTGAACTAAACCTGGGTCCTCTTACAATAGGAGCAAGTATCCTTGACCACTGACACACCTCTCCATCACCATAATTCTAGCAGTAATAGGTAGGTAATGGAAACAAATTGTGTGTGTGTATGTGTGTGTGTGTGTGTGTGTGTATTCAGTGCCAAAGTGATTGCTTACTAAATCATTGGTATACAAGTTCAACTAAGAAGACAGTATTTATATATTTAGAAAAATATACGATGCAATAATTTAAAACATGGAGGTCAGGGACCAAGAATTTGAGACAGAACAGTGGGTGTACACATTTGGTGTTAGAGGGAGTAAAAGTAACGGAAAGTGATGCAATTATATTTATGTTTGAAATGAGAATAAAGGTTCACCTCCCTGAGTAACTTAAATGGGGAAATGGAAAATTACCTGGAAACTCCAGAATATGATTCTTTGAGAAGGTATATCACCAAAGTGGGTCAGAATCTAATCCCCTCTCAAAGGAAACAAATAAACATCCTTACCTCCTTCAAACCTCTGAATTGAATCCAAGGAACTGCAGAGGGCTTGCTGGGTGAGCTTGCTACAAATGACTGCTGGAAGAGATAAGAGTAGATCTTAATGGAGAGGAAGTTCACAGTTATCACTTAGCATCATTTCTTTCTCTGTCCAGAATCTCAACATCCATGATTTACATCCCACACAACCCTAATTTCCTAAGACTGTGAGATTTCCCTCAATTATCCTCCTCCTGAACCCATAAAAAATCTCATCAAATGATGTGACTGACTGTGATGGCCCAGGTGGAGGGCCTCTCTATCCTTGGTAAGTGAGTATGTGGTGGGTTGGAGGGGTCCCTGGGAAGCAAGGGAAGATGGGAGCTGGGAGTCTGTGGGGATGGGAGCATTGATAAGTAAAATGAGATTGTTTCTAAATTTGAGAAAAACACCCACTACAGATATCACAACATGGGACCTGTGACTTGGTTAGCTGCCAGGGAAGCCCAGACTCTAGTGCCCCATTTCTACTGCAGATTGGAAGACTAATTCTTCTTACTCAGGATTCGCCTCACTCTTCCTTCTTCTTTGATCAGTATTCTACATGATAAAATCAAGAAATTCTTTTCTCCTGGCTGGCCTTCCAAACCCAGTCACAAAAAGGATTCACCATCCTCAGACTCCCAAAATGACACTGGGCAGGCCATACAAGACAACACAGTTACACACACACACACACACACACACACACACACGCGTGCGCGCGCGCGCGCACTCACGCACATACACACACACACAAATAATCCTGGGCATCGCACTCTGTTGTGTCCCGTAGCTGTGGGGCTACATGGAAGGCTCTGTCTCCTCACCCAGATCCAACAGGAGGCACCAATACGGTTCCTGCAGACCTCCAGTCAGTACTGCATAAGCCAGAAGTCACTTGGTGACTGACCTAGGGCCCGTCACAAGACTCCTCACTACTTCACTTCATTATAGCGACACAATGGCACTGGGAAAGTAGGACAGGCTGCTCCAGTCACAGGCCACGCCCTGGCTTATCCTCCTGGGCAGCCCTGAATGCTTGTGACCCCTGTTTTCAGGGGCTGAATTTTCCATCAGGCACAGTTCCACCTCAGTACTCCACAATGCAGAACATCCGGAATTTCTCACTTGGTAATTGATGTCTAACTCCATGCACAGGAAGCATCCAGACCCTCACACTTGCCATGTGGAACCTAACCACTTCTGCAGTGGCAAATATCGCTGGAGCCACTCAATGCCAGCTCCACGCCCCCTCCGCGGGCCAGTGGGATGCCTCTACTCTATTCCTGTGGTGCAAGAAAAGTCTCTCTTCCTCCACTGTGCCACACCCCTTGTCAGTTCAAAGTCACAAGCCCTGCCACCCAAACTAGGATCCAGGCTTCTCCAGACGCCACACCCACACCTACACCCATTGTCAGTTCAAAGTCACAAGCCCTGCCACCCAAACTAGGATCCAGTCCCCACACCCCACACCCACACCCACACCCACACACTTGCCTAAAGTAGGAGATGGAGCTGAAGAAAAACAGCAAGCTGTAAACACTGCCAGAAGTTCCTGGTCAGAAAAATAGCGGAGGTCAAGCTCTAGCCCCGCCTCTTGGTTGTGAGAAGGACTTGAGCATGCTTACCTAGATGATTGTTCAGGTCTAGGGCCACGCCTTCTGCTAAGGTGAAGCCACACCCCTTCTGAGTCACCGGATGGAGTTTTGGACCAAGGACTATTTAGCAGTTCTCTGACATCCAAGGGGTAGACACAGACAGGGCTCAAATTCGCTGGTTTTCCCTGTGTGTGAACTGAAAGCACCTCCTTATTTGTTACCTGGTTCTGAACAAGGACTGGGACAGTGTCACTATATTTTGGTTGTATTTCCTCCTGTGCAAACATCAACGAGACCTTCCCCATCTTCCTACCCATACATCTTCATGCTATTTCCGCAGCATTTCTCCAAAATTAAAAAATAAAATAGAAATAAAAACAAACAAACCAGCAAAAAAAGTAAGGCAGAAAAAAAATACCAAAATAAAAGGACACAAGAAACACTGATTCTGTTTTGTGTTGGCCAACTATTCCTGGGAATACAGCCTGCCTTAGAGTGTGCTTTATAAACCTAGTGACACTCCATTGAGAAAAATAGTTTTTTCCTTGTCGACATATATCATTTCCAAGCAGATTCTGTGTTAGTAGTGGAAATTTCTGTCTATTTACCCCTCTTCAGACAGAGACGCTGTCTGGTTTGAAGTCAGGCAGGACTTCTGAATGAACTCTGTGATATACATTTGTATCAACCCTGTTGTGTCTGGAGACAAATACCACCCCTGGCTCTTAAAATCTTTCTTTCTCTTCTTCTTCAAAGATTGCCAAGGCTTCAGTAGAAGGAACTAATAAAAACATCATATTCAGGTACTACTATCCCCAAATTCTAACTTTCTCTAAAATTGGTCAGCTGTGGATATAGATAGAAATATGTCGTTAGGAATAATTTCATTGCTTACTGTGGAATACTATTTCCTGATGTGTTACATTTATTTATGCTATGGGACATTTGCTTTGTAATGTGGCCTGGTTACCCAGCTATCAATGGAGAAAGACATAAAGAAACAGAGAAACATATAAGCCCAGAGGAAAGAAAGAGATACATGGGTAGAAAGAGTCAAGCAAAACTGAGATTTTATAAGTAAAAATAAGTCTCCATGTATATTTATTTGGGAGCAACTTTGTAGTGAATCACCCCAAAAAGAGTAAACAACAATAACAACAAAAGCAACAACATTTTGATTCCCAACATGGTGCTCAAACTTCAAATTAATGGTTTCTGCTTACAACAAGCCCTTGAGCAGCAGGTATATTGAAAAAAAATTGCAAGCCTCTCACCCCAGCACTCGGGATGCAGAGGCAGGTTGATCCAAGTGAGTTTGAGGACAGCCTTTTATACAAAACTAGTTCCACAACAGGCTCCAAAGCTACTGAGATAAAGCCTGTCTTGAAAAAATCAAGGAAGAAAAAACATAAAAGTATACTAAGTAAAAAATATGCCTACATCAGCAAAATCATCAGATTTTTCAGCTGTGAGGGTTAAATATAGTTCCCACAATGCACCTCCAACTCAGTGGCAAACTTGATGTTTGGCTTTCTTTACCCAAGAAATGGGAGAAGCCAGTGGATAAAGCCCCAGGCAGAGGTCCATGCCATTAGATACATAGCAATTTAAAGGCTCATGTTGTCATAAATGCTGAATAATACACAGAAGGAGATGTTCCAATGGGGAAAATTCCTGAAATCAGGTTGCTGCTTGTTCTACAATGTCCTTAGGGTTTTGAAATGGAGTAAGATGGTATAGAATATTAGAGAAAGAAATAAATAGCTTAGAAATAATAAAGTCTTTAAAGAGACAGTAAAACTGATATAGATGAAAAAGGCCAAGTAAGATTGGGAATGCAAAGTTATGTTTCTTATCAGTTAGAGGAATAAAGTGTATTGATACAAATTAGAATTTATTTTTGTTCCACTGTATGAATGTTTCTACTCTTGTTTACGGTATTATCTATAGGCACTTTATTTTAATATGTAAGTTCACGTTCTAGGTATGGAAATTTATCATTGTAAACTGTTTAAGATAATAAAGATACATAAGTTAGTAGTTAATCTTCTATTAACAATCAAATTTTATATATGCCGGGTATATTTTCCACATGATATGGTGATATATTATAGATCGATGGTCTTCAAACCACTCAAGGAACTACAGTGTATGGCATTTAAATGTTTGGTTCACTTAGGGATTTTCATGAAAACCAGACATATCTGATCCTGGCAGCACAGTGCTCTGTGAATTATTAAATTTTCTGGTGACAAGGGCAAGGGAACTTTCACGACTGCAAAGTGAAAATAAATCACAAAGTGTTTAATCACCTCTTCTGCTTTGAATACCCTCACAGTGTTTTTTGTCATCTGGGACACTTTGGAATTGTGTGAAATGAATTAGGAAACCAAAAGTTCAAATTTGGACTCAGAAGAGTGGGGAAATATGTGCTATAGACAAACACCCGTCCAATCCTACTAAGTAGCACCTGTGTGTTCTTTTGGTAAGTCAAAAGAACCAGAAGCCTTCACTTGCTGTCTCAGAAGCAGGGTTGGCAAATGAAGCAACATGATGAGAATGTGTTGACTCTAGAACACTTGTCACCTTGATAAAAATACTGGCTATTTAATGAATGGAAATTAGTTTGAATATCATTATTTTGACCCTTACCTGATACCCATTTTCCTGAGTTTTGTCATTGTTACCTAGAGTATTCTGAAGATGCAAATCTATAAGGGAAAGAACATCAAATATGAAGAAGAAATGTTTTTCAGATAAAAGCCAGTATACTAGTGCCCTCTTTCCAGAAAATCCTTCTGCTTTGTGAGGAAAAAAACAAAGCATTCACAGGGAATTGGTTTACATTTATATGTACCCTAGATTCACAGTATTTTTCAGAAAGAAAAAACTCAACTCATGTTTGTTGAATAAATGTGTCAGAAAGCAAAATTTATTAATATTTATTAACACTTTCTTGTTTTCTTGCATGAGCTTAACAAATAAAGGTACACAGCATTTAGTTTTCATTGATGCACTGTAAGATTTAAAGGAATCCTAAAAGATTGCATTGTTTTCCCACATTTTTGGGGAAACATAAAGGAAAATGAAGGTGTGACCAACTTACCTCCCAGACTCTAAATCTAATAAACCTTCTATTTCAGGGATTAACATTTATCTACCCCAACAAAGCAGTGAATTAAACACACAGTCAGCATGTTCTGATTCAGAGGAGAGAGGGAGGAGGAGTGGGACAAGAAAGGAGGACAAGGAGAAAAGAGGAAGTAATATAAATGGAAGGCATGACTTCCTCCCTTTCATCCTCTTCCCTTTCTTCTCTTTTCTCCTCCTTTCCCTCCCTCTCTTTTATTTTTCAGTTCTACTCCGCATTCTCAGTAACATCGGTTTCTGCTTCCTCCTCCCTTTCCTCCTCCCTTTCCTCCTCCCTTTCTTCCTCCCTTTCCTCCACCTCTTCTTCCACCTCTTCCATGATCACCAGCTCCTCCTCTTCATTATCACCTTCCGTTTCTTCATATATTTCTAGAACTTCATCCACACCCTCTTCCATGTCATCCACGGGAATCAGTAAAATCAGGGAGTCCCATAATTTATGGGGGTCCAGAAAGTCTTCAAGACATGAACAACTTCCGTAGTGAATCATGAGGACCCTTAATGGAGGCAGTAGGTAGAAATATGGTTGAAGCAATCCTAAATGCCTAGGGGATGGAGAAGAGGAGTAAATGGCCTGATATGAAAAGTTTACATCTGGTGATTGGGACAAAAGCCACCTTGCAGAATTTCTCTGGGGTAAATTTTATACTAAGCTGTACTCATATGTATAGGGATGTCTAAAGCTTCCCCCAACTATGAAGGCTCAAGGTTCTTCTTGGTCTATGGCATGGAAAGTTTCTAAGAGTCAGAGGTAGAGAATACCTGCAGTGAGACAGTATTTGCCAGACAAAATGAAGCAGGTTTACACTTGAAATCAGAGTGCCTGGGACTTCGTGTGAAAGATCTGCACATAAATCAAGCCAGTCCAAATGCAGCCACGTATGGAGCAGGGGGTTCTAGAATTCTCTCTTTGAGGTGCTATGGGAGATTGATGGCTACAAGGGCAAGGAGGGTCTGTTTTATTCAGGATTGCTGTTCCTGAAAGGTTCCCAACAACAACAGATGATCCCTAACCTAGGCTCATGCAAGCAGCACTATGTATACTCAGTTTAAAAAGACCACATGTGGATGAGAAGAAAAGGTGGTAAATGGGGAGATGGGAAGAAAACAGAATAAGGGCTGTATTTGACCAATGCACACTTTAGACCGGCACAAAATTTTAGAAAATAAAAATTCATATTTGTGAGGTAGTGAAATAAAAAGGAAGAGTGCGTTGAGTACCACCTCTAAACAAACCTGTCAAGGTCTATCTGGGATACAGTCAGGACTTGCTACATATTGTTGAGAATCCGACTTTTCTAAGAGAGAGGTGGATTTATTCCTCATGGTGTCGTCAGACCTGACACTTCCCCTTCTGCTGCATTTGGACATGTCTCTTCATTATAGGCCTTCACTTGTTTTGTGACATTAAAAAGGAAGTGAGGGTGAATACCTCACTGTGACTCCCATGGTCTTTAAGAGCCGACAGCAAGGCAAGGTAGAGCAGGAGACACCTTCATTTCCAGAAAGGGGAATTATGCCCTCTGCCCAGGGTTTTTCTTAGATCCTGTTAGAACCTGGGACTCCTCTCTCTGCTGCTAGAGATACTGTCCCCATTTCAGTATCAAATATTCACTACCCTGAGAACACACATAACAATGGGGAGTTGGAATTTCTGACCAGTACTGCCTGTCCCTCCTGAGGCAGAGAGCAGGTAGATGCTGTCTGGTCCACAGTGTACTTACCCTGAGTTTTCCCTCACACTGTTCATCTTTACTCTTTGCAGGTCTGAATCATGGAATGTTGATAGGATGTCTAATAAGACACAATCTCACCTTTCTAAGTGACCTCCTCAGTCTTAAATAATGTGACAGTGTACCACAATGTGTCTCATTTTCCTAGTTCATTCAATGGCTGAGAACAGAAGAGATCTGGACTCTTTAGTCCCATTACTTGAGATATTTTAGTACTCACCTAGGTCCTTAACACGCAAGGTATCTTCTCTACTGAATTGGTGTCACAATTTCAAGAGTCTCTAAAGAAAAATACAAAGAGATTCCTTAGGAAGGGGTGTTCTATGTAGGATATGATTCCATCTGGTGAGCTGGAGGACTGCCCTTATTTATCTATCGTGATATTTATTTTTATACTTGGCTTTTCCCCCACCTTTCATTGTCACTTGAATATAAGATCTCACATCTGGGGGTATATGAAAACATTTCATTTGACCATTTCTGTCCATAGCATCTAAGAACTGACTTTTGGGACAGATGGAATTTGTGTGAGACTCATCTTTCATGGGTTCATTATTTTCTTGGTGAATTAACATTTCCATGGCTCTTGACAGATCATAGAAATCCTCCACTCTGCTCATGTCACATCTGGTAATCAAAGTGTTCTTCTACCTCCCTGGATACTTCAGAAAATAGTAAAATGTATCATATGTAGGGATTCCTTTACCAAATTCAGGTAAACTGTACAAAAAATTAGACCTATCTCAGTATATTCCTCTTCAGTGTTGCTGAGTACTGTCATAGTCTGGCATGATTATCTAAGTCCTCACCATCTTGAACTATACCTGCATATTAGATTCTGGGATAACTTACTGAATTAGTGGCTTCTCATTCCATCATATCATCCTAATCTGTGTCTTCTTAGGGAATAAAAACATGATACAGGCACAGTCTGTATGATCCTACTTTTCTAGCATAAGGAGTAAAGTTGGAATGAATATCCTCAGTCTACTCCTCCTCGGGTCCTTTTTATGAACACAGGGAGAAACACACTGACCTACCATAACTCCTTTTCAGGTTGTCAGACTCTCAGAACAGCATCCTCTCTACCTGATTGTCAGAAGAGACTGGATAGATCTGGGATCTAATCTCTCTTTGACTTTGTTCCACTAAAGGCGGTGGTTGAAACTAATATTTTATCTTACTCCAGTCAAAATGGCTAAGATAAAACAACAACAAGAAGTCAATTGACAACAATTGTCTTTAGAGAAGTTGTTGGGAAAAGGGAACCATCATTCACTGTTGGTGGGACTGCAAACTAGTATAGTCACTGCTAAAGTCAGTGTGGAGAATTCTCAAAAACTTAAAACAAACAAATAAACAAATACAAAGCAAAAACTACCATATGATCTAACCATGCCACACTTTGACATATGTCTAAAGGACTTGATATTGTGCTCCTTAGATACTTGCTCATCGGTGTTCATTGCTACTCTAACTTTACTTATTTTACTGAATTGGTTTTTTTTAATTTCATTTATTTTATGTGCATAAATGTTTTGCCTGCATGTATGTATGCTTACTACATACAAGCTGCAGGGATCCATGTAGGTCAGAATACAAAGTCAGATCTCATAAGACTGTTGTGTGCTGTCTTCTGGGTGCCATGAATTAAATCTGGGTACTTTTGCACTAGGAACATGTGTCCTTGACCACTGACTCACCCCTCCATCCCAACAACTCCAGAAATAATAGGTAGGAAATGGAAACAGATTTTGTGTGAGTGTGTGTTTTTGTGTTTGTGTTTGTGTGTGTGTGTGTGTGTTTGTTCAGTGCCAAAGTGATCAGTTACTAAATCATGGGTATACAAGATGGACTAAGAAGACTGTATATATGTATTTAGGAAAGTGTATGATGAAATAATTTTAAAAATGGAGGTCAGGGACCATGAACTTGAGACAGAACTGTGGGTGTGAACATTTGGTGTTAGAGGGAGTTGAAGTAAGGGAAATTGATGTAATTATATTTATGTTTAAAATGAGAATAAAGTTCCACCTGCCTGAGTAACTTAAATTGGGTATGGCAAATTACCAGGAAACTCTAGTGAATGATTCTTTGAAAAGGTATGTCACCAAGGTTGGTCAGAATCTAATCCCCGCTCAAAGGAAACAAATAAACAAGTAAATATCCTTACTTCCTGCAGACCACAGGATGGGATCCAAGGAACTGCACAGGGCTTGCTATGTGGGCTTTCTACAAGTGACTGCTGGAAGAGATAAGAGTAGATCTCAGTGGAGGGGAAGTTCACAGTTATCACTTAGCATCATTTCTTTCTCTTCCCAGAATCTCAACATCCATGACTCTCCTTCCACACAACCCACTTCCATTAATATCCTAAGATTGTGAGATTTCCCTCAGTTATCCTCCACCTGAACCTAAGAAAACCTCAACAAATGATGTGACTGACTTTGATGGCCCACTTGGAGGGCCTCACTATCCTTGGTAAGTGTGTAGGGGGTGGGTTGGAGGGGCCCCTGGGAAGCATGGGAGGATGGGAGCTGGGAGTCTGAGGAGATGGGAGCATTGATATGTAAAATAAGATTGTTTCTAAATTTGAGAAAAACACCCACTACAGATTATCACAAAATTGGACCCGTGACTTGGTTAGCTGCCTGGGAAGCCCAGACTCTAGTGCCCTGTTTCTATTGCAGATTGGAAGACTAATTCTGCTTACTCAGGATTCCCCTCACCCTTCCCTCTTCTTTGATCAATATTCTACCTGATAAAATCAAGAAATTCTTTCCTGCTGGCTGGCCTTCCAAACCCAGTCACAAAATGATTCACCATCCTCAGACTCCCAAAATGGCAGGAGGCAGGCAATACAAGACAACACAGTTACACTCACACACACACACATACACACACACTCACAAACAGACACACACACACACACACACACACACACACACACAGCTGTGGGGCTACATGTAAGGCTCTGTCTCCTCACCCAGATCCAACAGGAGGCACCAATACCATACCTGCAGACCTTCAGTCAGTACTGCATATGCCAGAAGTCACTTGGTGACTGACCTCACCCTGTCACAAGACTCCTCACTGTTGTTAAAATGTCTAGGTTTGCACAGCCTGGACTACAATAGAACAAAGAAACCAGCATGGCAACACCCCAAGTTTCTCAGCTTCCCCCAAAGATGATCGACACCCCCAGGTCAGCAGTAAGCAGTCTTAAGAACTCAATGTCCTTGATCCAGAACTGCCATGTCTAACACCCCCATCTCTTTTTAATCATAAATAAAGGTGGGAATGAAATGTTCAGACATTACGCTGGCCTGCCCTGTTACCTGGCAAGATGCACTCAGGCAGCACTCTGGCCAGCCCAGAGTGGTTTGAGAACCATGCAGGTGCAAAAGGCCCCTTTAAAGGACTGACCCCTGCCTGCTTATGCTCTCTTACACTTTTACTCTCATCTTACTCAACATCTCATCTCCTCTCTTTCTCTCTCTCTCATATCTTATCTCTCTCTCTGCTCTGCACAGGTTGGTTACCTCTCACACCCCTTTCCCTCACTGTCCACCAATAAACTCCACGTGGGATCGTTGAGTCAAAGTTTGTGTCTCCTTACTGGATAAACGTAAACATCTTAACAACATTGGTTCCCTGCCCAGGAACCTAGACATTTTAACAACACTCACTACCTGACTTCATTATAGCCACACAATGGCACTGGGAAACGAGGACAGGCTGCACCAGTCACGGGCCACGCCCTGAACCTGTACAGCAGGGACTCTAGCTCTAGGCTACAATGGAGGACTGAAAGGCTCCTCCTCATCCCCCACTATTCCCTTGTGCCTCTTCCCTCTCCCCCAGTAGTATCGTACTGAAAGGGCAGGAGTTCCAGAACTTGTCACTACCTGACTGCCCTCCTACCCCACTCACAGAAAGCCTCAACATATTGTTACTGCCACAATGGCCCTAGACAGCCACACAAATCGCCCATTCATTACCCCTTCACTGAGATAACTGCCTGGGCATCTCTGACTCTAATGCTCCCTGCGTTTCTATGGAGGAAAATTCCCCTCCCACTTCCCATTTGTCCTCTGCTCAGTATTGCAGAAACGAAGAAGTCCAGAAATTCATGAAGCTTTGTGGCTTCCCAACAGCCAACTCACTCACAGAAGGATTCACTGTCCTAGGACTCAAAAAATGTCGCAGGGAAACCACTAGGAGACTGCTCCAGTCACGTCTGCCCCGCCCCCACCACCCTACACACCCAGGGTAAGTCTGGGCATCTCACACTCTTGCGCCCCCTAGCTGTGGGGCTACATGGAAGGCTCTGTCTCCTCACCCAGATCCAACAGGAGGCACCAACACCGTTCCTGCAGACCTCCAGTCAGTACTGAATAAGCCGGAAGTCACTCGGTGACTGACCAAGCGCCCCATCACAAGATTCCTCACTACCTCACTTCATTATAACGACACAATGGCCTGAGAAAGCAGGACGGGCTGCACCAGTCCCGGGCCATGCCCTGAACCTGTACAGCAGGGACTCTAGCTCTAGGCTACAAGGGAGGACTGAAAGGCTCCTCCTCATCCCCCACTATTCCCTTGTACCTCTTCCCTGTCCCCCAGTAGTATCGTACTGAAAGGGCAGGAGTTCCAGAACTTGTCACTACCTGACTGCCCTCCTACCCCACTCACAGAAAGCTTCAGCATATTTTTACTGCCACAATGACCCTAGACAGCCACACAAATCGTGCAGTCACTACCCCTTCACTGAGATAACTGCCTGGGCAGCTCTGACTCTAATGCTCCCTGCCGTTTCTATGGAGGAAAATTCCCCTCCCACTTCCTATTTGCCCTCTGCTCAGTATTGCAGAAACGAAGAAGTCCAGAAATTCATGAAGCTTTGTGGCTTCCCAACAGCCAACTCACTCACAGAAGGATTCACTGTCCTAGGACTCAAAAAATGTCGCAGGGAAACCACTAGGAGACTGCTCCAGTCACGTCTGCCCCGCCCCCACCACCCTACACACCCAGGGTAAGTCTGGGCATCTCACACTCTTGCGCCCCCTAGCTGTGGGGCTACATGGAAGGCTCTGTCTCCTCACCCAGATCCAACAGGAGGCACCAACACCGTTCCTGCAGACCTCCAGTCAGTACTGAATAAGCCGGAAGTCACTCGGTGACTCACCAAGCGCCCCGTCACAAGATTCCACACTACCTCACTTCATTATAACGACACAATGGCCTGAGAAAGCAGGACGGGCTGCACCAGTCACGGGCCACGCCCTGGCTTATCCTCCTGGGCAGCCCTGAACGCTTGTGCCCCCTGTTTTCAGGAGCAGAATTTTCCATCAGGCGCAGTTCCACCTCAGTACTCCAAAATGCGGAACATCCGGAATTTCTCACTTGTTAACTGACGTCTAACTCCATGCACAGGAAGCATCCAGACCCTCACACTTGCCATGTGGAACCTAACCACTTCTGCAGTGGCAAATATCGCTGGAGCCACTCAATGCCAGCTCCACGCCCCCTCCGCGGGCCAGTGGGATGCCTCTCCTCTCTTCCTGTGGTGCAAGAAAAGTCTCTCTTCCTCCACTGTGCCACACCCCTTGTCAGTTCAAAGTCACAAGCCCTGCCACCCAAACTAGGTTCCAGCTCCCCACACCCCACACCCACACCCACACCCACACACTTGCCTAAAGAAGGAGATGGAGCTGAAGAAAAACAGCAAGCTGTAAACACTGCCAGAGGTTCCCGGTCACAAAATGGCGGAGGTCAGGCTCTAGCGCCCCCTCTTGGTTGTGAGAAGGACTTGAGCATGCTTACCTAGATGATTGGTCAGGTCTAGGGCCACGCCTTCTGCTAAGGTGAAGCCACACCCCTCTAAATCCCCTGGTGGAGTTCTGGACCAAGGACTCTCTTGTATTTCTCTAACATCCACCGGGTAGATATAGGCAGGGCTCAAAATTGCCAGTTTTTCCTCTGTGTGAACTGAAAGCATCTCCTTACTTCTGACCTGGTTCTGGACAAGGACTGGGATTCTGTCAGTTTATTTTGGACATATTTCCTCCTGTGCCAACATTACCGAGACTTTCCCCATCTTCCTACCCATACATCTTCATGCTATTTCTGTAGCACTTCTCAACAAAATTAAAAAAATAAAATAAAAATCAAAACAAACAAGAAAAAGAAGCAAAACAGTAAGACAGAAAAAAAGCACCAAAATAAAAGGACACAAGAAACACTGAGTCTGTTTTGTGTTAGCCAACTATTCCTGGGCATACAGCCTGCCTTGGAGTGTGCTTGATAAACCCAATGACACTCCATTGAGAAAAATGGATTTTTCCTTCTCGGCATATATCATTTCCAAGCAGATTCTGTGTTAGTACTGTAAATTTCTGTCTATTTAACCCTTCTCAGACAGAGATCTTGTCTGGTTTAAAGTCAGGCAGGACTTCTGAATGAACTCTGTGATACACATTTGTATCAACCCTGTTGTGTCTGGAAACAAACACCACCTCTGGCTCTTAAAATCTTTCTTTCTCTTCTTCTGCAAAGATTGCCAATGCTTTCATAGAATGAACTCATAAATCATCATATTCAGGTCTTACTATCCTCAAATTCTAACTTTCACCACATTGTCCACCTGTGGATATAGATACCAATATGTCATTAGGAATAATTTCATTGCTTACTGTGGAATGTTATTTTCAGATGTGTTACATTTATTATGCTATGGGACATTTTTCTTTGTGATGTGGCCTGGTTTACCCAGCCATCCATGGAGAAAGAAGAAAGACATAAAGAAACAGAGAAACATATAAGCCCAGAGGAAAGAAAGAGATACATGGGATAAATTAACTTAAGAAAAGCTGGGTAGAAAGAGTCATTCAAAACTGGGCATTTATAAGTAAAATAAGTCTTCATGTATATTTATTAGGGAGCTTTGTGGTGAATAACCCCAAAAAGAGTAAACAACCATAACAACAAAAGCAACAACATTTTGATTCCCAACATTGTGCTCAAGCTTCAAATTAATGGTTTCTGCTTACAACAAGCCCTTGAGCAGCAGGTATATTGAAAAAAATTGAAAGCCCTTATCCCCAGCATTCAGGAAGCAGAGGCAGATTGATCTAGGTGAGTTTGAGGCCAGTCTTGTGTACAGAGCTAGTTCCACGACAAGCTCCAAAACTGCTGAGATAAATCCTGTTGCAACATATCAAGGAAGAAAACTCATAAAAATATACTAAGTAAAAAAAAGTGCCTACATCAGCAGAAGCATCAGCTTCCTACAGCTGGGAAGGTTTAATGTAGTTCCCAATATGCACCTCCATCTGAGTGGAAAGCTTGAAGCCTGGCTTTCCTTACCCAAGAAACAGGAGGAACCAGTGGATAAAGCCATAGGCAGAGGTCTGTGCCACTTAGTTACATAACAATTTGAAGTCTCATGTGATCAATAATACACAGAAAGAGATGTTCCATGGGAAAAATTCCTGTAAGCAGGTTCCTGTTTGTTCTACAATGTGCTTAGTCTTTTGAAAGAAAGAAAAGTGGTATGGAACATTAGAGAAAGAAATGAATAGTTTAGAAATACTAAAGTCTTTAAGGAGACAGTAAAAATAATATAAATGAAAAAGGCCACCTAAGATTGGGAATGCAGAGGAATGTTTCTTATCTGTTAGAGGAACAATGTGTATCGATACAAATTTGTATTTATTTTTGTTCCACTGTATGTATGTTTCTACTCTTGTTTAAGGTATGGTATACATCAACTTTCTTTTAATATACAAGTTCAAGTACTAGATTTTGAATGTTTATCATTGCAAACTGTTTAGGATAATAAAGATACACAGGTTAGAAGTTAATCTTCTACTAACAATCAAATTTTATATATGCTAGGTCTACATTAAACATGACATGGTGATATTTTATAGATAGATGTTCTTTAAACCATTCAATGAACTATAGAATATGGCATTTAAATGTTTGGTTCACATAGGGCTTTTCATGAAAATCAGACATATCTGATCCTGGCATCACCAAGTTACTCCAGAGATGATGGCCATTGAAGGAACTCCTTATGGAGTTTGCTTTCTCTATGGGACAGCAAGCCATGTGGGCAAGAAACAGCTCTAGCCTGCTACTTCCTGACAGTATGCTATATAAACTAGACATGAAGGAACCACAGGAAAGTGACTGCTAAACTTTGCCAAAATAAATGAAGACAGTCCTTCAAATTTCCTGTTTCACGGACAAGTCTGCCAGGTATTTTGGGACTGCAGACTGAAGATGAATGCCTCAAATATTGGAGAGGAGTGTTGGGTCACTGTCAAGAAAACAAGATGTCTCTGTTGTTATGTAATAGCAATTCCTTCTGGGATCTTTGATGAAGTTAAAGAATAAATAATTAGGTTTACAGGTGTCCTTAGTGATGACAGAAAGCAAATTAGGTATACAACTTCAGGATCACTAACAGTAGGTAGACAGTGGAGAATTCTTTCTGAAATTATTGTATACAAAAGGAATGGATATTGTAAATGTAGTTCTTACTTGCTAAGATTTTTTGCTGTGTATAGTTTTACATGTTAAAGTTAAATCTTTTCATCTTTATTTAGACAAAATGGGGAAATATGGAATATTAATTTGTGATGTGTTGCATTTATTTATACTATTTAATATTTGTTTAATGATGGAAAGCCATATTGAATCCTTTCATATTACATTAGTTTAATTCTGTGAAGCCGTGTCCCTTTGGCTTTCTGGAACACCTGATGGGTCTCATAAAGAGCTGAATGTCCAATAGCTGGGCAGAGAATGGATAGGTGGTGCTGGCCGGCAGAGAGAATAAATAGGAGGAGAAAAGGAGCAGGACAAGATCAAGGAGCAAGGAAATGAGTAGGAGAGGCAGACACCAGGGGCCAGTCACCTAGCTACACAGCCAGCCTCGGAAAGAGAAGTAAAGAAAGGAATATAGAAATAGAGAAATGTAAAAGACCAGAGGGAAAACATAGCTGGGCACATTTAAGTTAAGAAAATCTAGCTAGGAAAAAGCCAAGCTAAGCCAGGGCATTCAAAGGTAATAATCAGTCACTGTGTGTGTTCATTTGGGAGCTCTATGGCAGGCTCACCAAAGAATAGAGTTAAAAACAAGCAACCACAATTGCCATGTGCTTTAACATAATAATAAGAAGTTCATTTTAGCTTAGGTCCCATGACCTATTGAATTTCAGGTGGTTGACCCCTTTCGACAGTGTCACAAAGGGGTTCCACCTCAGGATGTGGAACTTAAATAATTCAAACTGTGGTTGGTTATTTTCAGGGTGTTTGTGATGTCAATATATATTCCAGGCAGATCAGTGTTAGAAGCCACAGGGTTTGTAGCTGCATGTTATTGACTATTGTTTTTCTTCTCTGATAGC